AACTAGTTTAACCCCGCCACATTCTATAGGTGTCTGTCACAAGTCAGGAGCCTGTAATTCAGTGGTTGTCGTTTGTTGCTTTATATCATATTTGTTTTTCGTTCATTGTTTTTTTCGTGTGTGCATAAATCAGGCAATTAGTTTTCTCGTTTGAATTGTTTACATTTGTCATTTTAAGGGGCCTTTTATCGCTGTTGTTAACTTCTATTACATTTGGTCTCCGGTGGAGAGTTGTCTTATTGGCAATCATACCACATCTTATTTTTATATTCATAAAAATAAGGATGTTCTACAAACTTGTTTAGGAAAAGATAATTAGGTCTTTCCACTTTTCGGTGGAAAGACCTATTGTATTTGTTCTGATTATTATTTTTTTTTTTTCTTCTTCCGCCACTTTTATTTCTTGCGTATAAATTTTGTTTCGCAAGATGTCGCTTAGATGTTTGGCATATGATATCGAACAGTTTATGCGCCTTTGAAATTCACCATGCTTAACCGAATACTTTTCTTTGTAGGAGTTATCTCCGCGAACACTGTTTTCCTTGTGACTGCATCTCCTCTGTAACCGTAAAAGAAAACGACAAATTTATTTTATAAAATTGCTTGTTATATCCTTCGCATGATTTGTCCTATTTTGACCGAAGCAATATGAACACTCCATATGAGAGTTATTTCCCCTTATGCGTTTGTTATTAGTGATATGCATTTCTATCTTGTAAACCATAAGTGATAGAGACCTAGGATCTTTTGATTTGAGGTCCTTGATCCAAAAAAAAGAAAATAAGGTCAAGGTCAGAGGTCAAGGTCATATTATAAATTTTGATTTTGGCTTATTTTCACTTCTTTTCAAAAACCGTATAAGATATCGACAAGATATTTTTACTAAATTGTAAGTTGCGACATGTCGTAACACATAAATTTTGGTTGAAATGGTACGCTAACATTAAATTGGAGTTTTCTCCCCTCTTATGTTAAAAATTAGGCGTAAAGTGATATAAATCATTAACCATATATAATTAAGACCTATGGTCTTTTGATTTGAAGCCCTCGGTTTATGACCTTGAAACTGAGCTAAAGGTCATAGGTAAATTTGACGTTCTAGATTTTGACCTTTGCTTTTTCCTCGTTAGTATACGTGATAAAGCCATAGGACTTTTTGCATTACGTTGCAAGCCACTTGACCATGGAAAAGCCAACCGGAAGTGACCTTGTGTAAACCGGAAGTAGCTATTGTTTGTACTTATTTAATGTAAAAGTATATTAAACCCTATATTTTTGGAATCAGTATCAAGTAAACTATCAAATAAAACCGGAAGTGACATCTTTAAAACCGGAAGTAACAATTTATCTCCCTTATTTTGAAAAAAATGTATAGAAATCATGTAATTTTGGAATCAGTGTACAATAAACTATCATTAAACGCTGAATATGATATTTTAAACCAAATTTTAATAGTTCTATTTCAAAATAGATCTTTATTAGTGGAAAGACCTTCAATTGTTCTCTGAACAATTGGTTTTTAATTGTAAACAAGGTTTCTACTTTGGGAATATGTTCGCGCTTATTTTTCAATGCTTATTTCAATTTTTATATACACACAATTAAAGCAGTCAACAACAAAATGACTACTAATACGTATTACGATTCTGTGTTTTCGCGGTTGTCTTTACTATCATACTCTAAACATTTCGATTGGATGATATACATGTTTTTCTTTTTGATTCCTCAGTCGTCTAATTAAAAAGAAGATGTTGTATGATTGCCAAAGAGACAACTCTCCACAAAAGACCAAATGACACAGAAATGAACAACTATAGGTCACCGTTCGGCCTTCAACAATGAGCAAAGCCCATACGGCATAATTTGTTTTCAACTAAGAAAGTAACATACCTGCAATTTACTATTGAATACAACAAATTTTTTGAACCAAATTTTATATGACTAATTGTGTTTGACTGACAAGGTTCCTCAAAATTTTTGTGTCAGTCCTATTTCAGTTGCTTTATTTATTTAACAAGTAATAAGAAGATTTTGTTTTCGATGTTCCATATTTGTCCGTTTGGGGTCTTTGAGTAGACAGAAGTGTAATAAGTTATCTTAACCATTGTTGCGAAGCTCTTACCTGAACACCCACCTATATCATTGATTTTTCTGTCTGTTCAATGGTGTGTTGTATGTTATCCGGTTATGCCATGTTTAAGATTTGGTTTCAATTACAACAACACTTAATTTAATGAAGTTAATTGAGTACAGTAAATTTTCTTGATTAGTAAAATCTTAACATGACATCTGTAACTTTATATCAATACAAAGAAAACGTGTCCATTATCCCACATCTGAATGTTGTAGATAACAGCATAACAATTACAGAAGCCATTTTACTTCGTTAACCTATGTTAATTTTAATTTGAAAAAGAAGGTTAATGATAATTGGGTTATCAAACAAATGCTGGCAGCTTTGAAACATAAGTCTAATAAGGCAAAGTGTAAAATTTTACTTGACGAGACCAGCCTCTCGAACTTAACTCATCAACTCTGTTGGACTTGACAAGAAAGCGCTCTAAATATTTTTTTCTTTTAAATGTATCATATTTCAAGTTGTATTAAACGAGAACACATGTTCCCAAGAAGATCCCGAGTGTAGATATACGTGTCCACGTCCATATATTATGTTTGCACGATAAACAATTGTTTTTATTGATATCCTACATTACTTCCCAAACGTAAACGACGTCAACGAACAATCGGTTCTTACTGTGATGGAATAGCATTAAGCAGTGTGACATAGGAAATATACGGGAAAGTCAACGAATTCGAAAGTCGTCTAATATATCTTTTCCCGACATTTGTTTCACTCATAGAGAGCGATGACGAACAGAAAAAAACCATGACTATAAGAGCAACAGAAAACGACGAAGAAAAAACACTGCATAGGAAACTTAAAATTTAGCAACATGAACCCAACCAATAAAAATAAATTGCATCTATTTTGACATTTTTTTCACCTAAGTTTATTTATGATCCCGACAAAAGTTTCCATTCTGTAGATGTATCATTATTTACTTTATAGTTCCACCAATTAAATTTTGACTCCTTATTAAATCATAGAAAATGGGTTTGAACCGACCTCCAACGATCTATGATTCTGTTATGAGGAGTAATCAAATTGCACCCATGCTTAAATTCACATCCGTAAAAATCAAATAACTGATGTTTTATTTTATTTCTCCAAATATTTAGAACAATTTTACAATGGTCCATGCTTACTATTCACTTTTTTTAAGAATTGATGCCTGTAACATATTTTAATTGCTCATTTTTAAAAGTTGACTTTTTGTGTTATGGCGACGTTTCCGTAGATGTTACTTTTCCTAGTGGATACTCCATCTTTGATATATACTGTGAATGTTTTGTGTATATTCAAACATATTTAGCTAAGTTGAAAAACGTGTATAATGTCAAATCATAAACATACAGATCATTTAGTCTCTAAGAAATCTTGCAAGACTTCCACTGTTATTTTTGCTAAATAGGTGCAATTTGGGTACCGTGACGTTAGACGAATTTATTTTTTCTAGTATTTTGGGGGATTCTGTCGCCTTCATGTGCATATACCCGACATCTTCATTTATTCATATTATCTACATATAAAATTTATTCCGATGATGAACAAAAAAATCGTATAATACCAGTGATTGAAATTTCGTAGAAACGGATGAAATATTAAACAGAATAATGAATACAGTTCTTTTTGTTGATTTTTTTAAAAATCTTTCAATAGAAACAAATCAGTATTTAGTTTCAGATACTTCTTTTTTACCAGAATATATTTAACAGTATATACGCTTGTTTACCTTGTTACTAGATAACATTTGATTAATTAAAAAAGAAACTTTTTCGAGAAGTAATGTGTTTATCATATATGGCAGGTAGGAGTCATTCGAAACCAATTAATTACCCATTACTTTTGATCTATTCTGTCAAACGTTTACTTAGGTTAGGATATTTTTTTATGATACCGATTCTTGTTTGATATTTAACCCTTAATAAGTAAACTCATTTTAAAATAATATATCTGCTTCGAGGCTAAACTATGAACACGATGTCTTTAAATAAGTTACCATTTTAGGATTAGTACAAAATCTTTATGCAAAATGTTTTGAAGATGAGAAAAAAAAAGAAATAAAAAACAACAAACACGCGGCAAATATAGTAACAATACAAGGACACGAATGATGTATACAAGGCGAGAGAAAAATTGACTGCTTAATCAAAGAAGACAAGGATGTCTTAATGTCATTTCCTAGCCGTGACATTTGCTGTTGAATTTGAATGACGGGTATGCATGGATATAGCAGGAAATTGTCCATTTTGCTTGTTTTTAATAAATAGTTGTGGCAAGGACAAGCATCCCAAACCTCCCTATTTAAATATTGTCCTGTTCGTGGCCCTTGTCTTACTCCTAGTTGGAGGTCTGAGATTCAGACTTTTTTTTCTCTCCCATGGTTCTCTGATTTACATTGACTTGTAGCTATTCACAGATGACAAGGGAAAACGAGATGGTAACGTTGTAAGCAACCTCATTCTAGTGTATACAACAAATTCGACAAAAGAAGGAATCGAACACTAACCTTTCTATGATGTCCTCGAACATTGCCTCCTTTCAGTTTAATTAATTGTGCGGCTAATAATGAAAAAGAATTTTAAGATACATTATCAGAGAGGTTACCTTTTACGTGAAGACCTTAAATGCCCTAATGTCGTAGCATTTCCAATTAATTAGAAACTTATATATATATATGTATCAAATATTCATTTTAAAAGAACAAAGAAAGACCTTAAGTGATCCTTTTTATGTATATGACATAAAAAAGCAATCAATGCAATAAACCATTAAAAGTGAGCATGCAACAACCATCGAATTTTCCCTAGTCATCTGTCTAAAAGGTTTTATATTATGGATAATGGAGCTTTTAATGACTCATCTTTGCTAATTTCAGGTAATGCATTACAGGAAGAAACAAATAGTGACGATAATTTAAAGGATGACGCATATGGGAAACTTGTAACATGGATTATAGATATGGCGGATACGGATTGCACTGGAAAAGAGCTTATGCAAGATATGCTAGATGGAGAAACGGTTTTACATAATACTGGTACTGACTCGGACACATCAAGATCTCTTAACTTGTCAAGCCAGCAGGCTTCCATTGATTCTGTAGGCAGTGGTTCTGAAAATATGTCCTGGAAGTCGTCTATCAGTCCCGATTCAAGGTCAATATGCACAATACCGGAAACTCGTTACCTGGGTCGTGCACAGTCAGAGGACATTGAATCAGTTAGACCAAAACAACGAGGTGTTTTTCTGAAGCAAATTTCGGTAGCTTGTGATTCAAGAACAGCCCCAAAAGCCTTAAACAGGGACAAATCGCTTGAATTTAGTAAACCAAAGGAATTAAATAAATCTCTTGATATACATAAATCTTCAGAAATGAGCAAATCAATGAAATCTCTAAAATCTGCTAGGGATCGCAAGGATATAGAACCTAACTTAAAAATGAAAGAAACCGAGTTATTGAAGGCACGATATCAAAATATTATGTCGAAAAAAGAACAAAATACGCTTATTAAACAAAGCTCTGAACCAGAATCCTTCAGAAACAAATTGCAGCCAAGACAAAAGCTAGGACTAGGGACTAAATCATTTGATAATTTTTTGGATGTCCCCAAGCCATTTTCACCGGCATACATAAGACAGTCAAGCGACGAAAGCTCTTCTAGCAAGAAAGACTATTTATCAACATCTTCTAAATCATTTGACAGCGATTCTGCACGATGCATATCAACTAGTCCTCGAGCAAAAGGTAAAAGAACAATTAGTGAGGAAGGATTCCGAAAGAAAGAGAAATATCGAATGAGTATTCGGAACAAGCCTGTCAAATCTTTCGACATTTTCCTCGACGACAGTGTCAAATCGTCAAAGAATTCAATGAGCCGACAAACCACCATTAGCATCGAAGATGAAGATGGAGTCATAATTGAAAATATTCACCAGGATAGTGAAGAGGAAATGATTCCTTTAAGACCATTGTCGGTTGAAAACGATAACGCCGGAAAATTTGATGTCAGTTTTGAATCATCAAAAAACCAACAAAACAAGCGTACTCCTTTAGGAATTTTGAGTCGAAGTGTTGGGAATATAAGGGAGAAGACTTCAAAATTGAAGTCACTTGTACGAAGAAAGAGTAGCAGTCTGATGACAATAAAGTCTTCAGAGAACGAGGACAATAGGACGGAAGCAATGAAAGCAGTCTCAAATGAAGAGGTCATTTTAAACGACACACTACTTGATGGCAATATTAACGATATTCTCTTTGCAATTGATACATTATGGCCAACACAATGATTATATCAAGCCGTTATAGATTGTGTTACAATATGATTTTTATTTTTATATGACTTTGACTTCATAACATTGTTGTATATTTCATGATCGTCCTTCATTTTTAAGAAATTTCGAATTTATATTTCAGTATATTGTCTTTTATTTGAAGCTTTCGCATTGATTTAATATGTATTTACATAATTGGGACAAATGAGTAAAGTAAAGAACGAACATTGACATTGATTTTATAATCGTATATCAGTAATTGATGTGAAGGTAATATCTATAGTACGACATAAATGTACCATGGATTTAGTGTATGATCAGGAATTAAGTTAGAATCTTGGCGAAGGTGCGCAGGCTAATGAAAGGGAAACTTTTGCGCTGTTAATATTTTAACAACAGAATTTTTTATGTTGACAAATATAAGAACCGCTCTCCTTCCTTGATATGTTTTTACACAAACTAAACTACCTTCTAAAAGATATGTACACCTAGAATCAACTAACCTAAAATATCGTTTCTCATCTCATCCACATTTATATTTATATATGATCGTTCTGATCATGCTTGTGATATTTGCCACTGTTCGTTAAGCAGCAATCAATCAATGTTAATATAATTTGGGAATCATTTACTTTTACTTTTCATTGACAATGTATCAATAAACGTAAACAATTTATAACTTGTTAAATTGCTTGCTTCTATCATGATGAAATTAGCATAAAATAAAACAACCCCAACTGTTAAATATTCAAAACATTCATTTAAAATGGCATATTCATCAGTCTAGAAATGGTCTAGGAACTGTGAAGAATTACCTGTCTCTTTAATCTTTTGTATTGGTAAGAGTTGGCTGCTCTACGAATCCAAATTGAACAATATTAAAATCAATTCTGGAAAATAAAATCGAGTTTCCTCACCTCGAACCAGTGAATTTTAATTTCTTAGTACCATTCTACACCCAAGAAAACATCGTTACATTGCCTCCCGTTGTCCTTACTATCTAGTCGACACATTATTCTACCAATATAGCATTATTTTTTAAACAAAAAGCGCAATTACTAGCATGGGTAAAACTACGAAAAGGTGTATAATAGGTATGCTCATTTGAAGTTATATTAATATAAAGACAAGAAGATGTGGTATAATTGTCATAGACAACTATCCATGATTTAAACAGGACAAACATATAAACAACTATATAGTAGTTCTTAAACATGCTTTATAAGCCTTTTTCAATGAGACACATTGGGTTGCAATAGGTCACTAAACACATCTATCTAGCCCAGTTGACGAATTTAAACAATTCTTTGTAACAATCATTCACAATATCGAGACCAAAGTCTACTATGTGCTCACAAATTGTCCCAGATGTTTCAACCAAGAATATTTTGTTATTATACTATTGCTAGAGTAAACAGTACCATTTTGTACAATTAAAACAACCTTTATACATTGTAGGTGCACATCGTTGAAATCAATGTGTCATACGAGCTGAATTATTTTCTGTATAACATCTGTACCCATATCAATGCTTTCAAAAGTTGTTTCTGTAGCAAAAAAAAAAAAAAAAATAAACCCATTCACCGAAATTCTTTATTAATGTGTTACACAGATTTCTCAGTGGTAATCCTCTAAAACAAACATTTATAAACATGCAATCACGGCTACTCATAGTATTTACTCATTTAGGGTTTCGTGAATTAAAATGATTCATCAACATTTAATATATGCTTTCATTATCTATTTTCTAATCAAAACATAGTTGCCATAACATAAAATATGCGCCTCGTTTTTTTTTTTTATACATAATTTATTGACAGGAAAAAAGAGAAACAGTTTTTATTTTCGCACAAATATCAGAGAACAGATGTTTTCTCCGGGTGAAAAAGAAATTTTTCAGAGAAAGACATCTCTATAAAACTGATGGTACCTGTTTAATCGTCGATTTGGACTAATGCTTAATTGGTCTGTCTTTGGTGTTTTAACAGTTTATCCGTTTGTTGGTTGTCCTTGTTCATATATCAATTGTATATTTTGCACAAGCTTTGAAAAATGTTAAACACGTAAAATCGATTGTATGAAAACTGAAATGTATTACACACATGTCGTTGTTCTAATTTCTATCAAGTTAATTATTTTTTGTCTATTACATGAAACCAATCAAATGTATAGAATGAAAGTAAAAATTAAACAACAATAAACTTATTTTCAAACAAACTTCACTGATTAATTACAAATTCACGTTTTATTTATATTTGATATTCTTTTTTTTTTTAATTTTCCATCCATTAAATTTCTTTGTTTAATGACTCATGTCCAAGATAAATTGACAACGCAAAGCAAAAACCGAAAAACCACAAAAAGACAAACAACGGAAAGACAAACAACAGTCTATAAAACACAACATAGAAAATTAAAACTGAGCAACACAAACCCCACCAAAAACTGGGGGTGATCTTAGGTGCTCCGGAAGAGAAAGCAGATGCTAATCCACATGTGACAACCGTCGTGTTACTTATACATTATAACTACTAATTCAGTGATAAGTCTTAATCGGGAATGATATACTTATCATTGATAATCAATTGTCTTATATTATTTCTTTGATTAATGTGATCTGATACTTCAGTTCTCTTCTGTCACTTACCAAATCAGAAAAAAATAAAAAATAGAAAAAATAGTAATATGATAACAGAAAAAAGAGCAAAACTAACGAAATGGGGTTACATGCATATTACTCCGAATAAATGAAGTATGCCCGCCTGCGATAGTACTTGGGGTATAACGTTTTCCTGCATGTCCGTCCTATAATTCGTCTGTTTGTCTACATGTTCCTTTAGTATCAAGTTAAACTTTTGGTTTACGCAAGAACGTAAAGCAGCTTACTTGGTTTGAGGTAGTTTACCATAACGTTGTGGTTACAATCACTTGAGACTTAGTAGACATGTTCATAATGATGTGATCTTTAAAATAAATAAGCCTTTATCCTCGTCGATACTAAAAGTTTATACACTTATTAAATGCAAATATTTAGACAGTATCATTTACACCAAGAATAGCTGATTACCTTTTTTGAAATTACTTTTTTAATTTAAAAATATACAAATACGTAAACAATGCTGGACTATCGTCCAATGTTTTGTATGTCACAAGGCCTCACAAGGCCAGACGAGCTTGTCTCATAAAGCTTTATTCCCACATCCTAACATTAATATGCATGTACCCTATTGTTATTACTAAATGGAAATATAAATGACTCTCGTCTGACCCTTTTGATACATGTTATAATATCATTTCTTCAATTTTCTACAGCAGCACCAGAAAACAAATGCACGAACGATAAGACATTTAGCAGACAAGCATTGATGCAAGCACATGCGGTATATAGAAAAGAAAGAGTATGAAAAGAACACTAACTTAGGGTGACAGAATATAAAAAAATTATATTATATTTTGCGAACACTTTTAGAGTGAAGGAATACTTTTTTGGAATCCTTTACGCACATTCAATATACATGTAGATCAACTTCACAAAGGTTTAATTTTAAATAACAGAGTATAAATGCAACATGCATCATTTTTTCCGATAAATATATGCACGTGAACGATTTCTGAATGATACAAAATCATATAAATCCGAAATACCGTCCGATCACATTTATGCTTCTTATAAAAACATTCGACTTTGTTTATTAATATATCATAGTGTCCATGTAGCTATGGATTATATTAATCGTCAATTTTTTAACGTTTGTGGACAGTGATGTTTGTCAAAGTTTTGCACATGAAATACAAACTGTAGTTTTGTGATTAAAACAAACTGAAGAATACTTTCCTGTAATTTGTCAATTCTAGCAGTATTAGTTTGTAAACAAAATGGCCAGGTAAGAAGACTCATTAACATATTATACAGTGTTTTCATATCATGGTGAGCAATAGACACACTTTTCCTATCAAACTTTGTAATTTATTGCATGAAATGTGGTTCATTCATATTAGCAAGACACTAATGCAGATCAGCGGACCTTACTGCATATTGAGATTTATGCGATTCACATGTTTTTTTCCCATTACAACTACAATAATTCACCACTGCTGATATGTATAACGTTCTATCTGTCAAAACCCTTGGATGATCCTTGATCCGCAGTGTGCTCTATACTAATTGTTGAGAAGGAAAGTTGTTCCGAAACGGGTCGATCAATATCCGGAGTTCGAGTATCTGTAGATGAACAATGCATTTTGCCATATATATACTGCTTACTGTTCAACTCAAGTTAATTCTGGATAAATGCTGAAAGGTGTTCAATTTTAACTGAAAATTATTCTTGTGAATTGAACAAAATTACAACCAGGCCGATTTAGAGCTTGAAATATATTGTAGATATTTGTCTATCATTACTGTTGAAGACCACATGATGGCCTCTAGATTCATCTATCCTTCATCTCTTTGTTGGCAAGGGGATGATGCGTTTTTTGTTGTTTTTCTTAGTATGGAAAAAAAATGAAACAATGTATATATCCCATCACTTTTAGGGTCTGTGCTTTAGGGATATGATTACATTGCAAGCTTATTTTACACTTAATCTACTTTAATCTGCTGTTTTGCTTGTTTATTGTTTTTAGACAGAAATATCAACATTATATGATAGTTTTCGTGTGAGTGTGTTTTTTTTAAGTCATTACTTCATCTAGAAAATTAAATTATAGCGTCTATATCAAAGAATTCTTTTTGGAAGGTGGATAATGATAGTCACCAGTTCCAAACTGATCATAGTTTCGGAATCAACACCATTTTTCAATGACCAAAAGCTATATATATAACCAACTTAACCATTGATAAAGTTCCTGGTTTGAGACAATTATTTTTTCTGTACTATTTCTAGAATTATTATCCTGTCGAATGTTTACATGAAACTATTATATTAGTTCAGGGAATGTTATGACCGATCAATTTACCTGATGATAGATAATAATTGTAGAAATCGTACAGAAAAAAAACCCATGGCGTTCTGTCTTGTTTGCCCACTAACAAACATGCACAATTGTCATGATTTCGATCGTTTAATAAAGTTTGACGCTTATCAAACCGCAGCATGCCAACAAGTGTTAGTTGTACCAGAAATCTTAAGCTAAAATAAATATTTAGTTTCTTTTTTTACCACGTTGACTGACTAAACAAACACGACCTTATTTGGAGAGGACATGCTTCAGATTTGATGTATTCTCCTTTTAAACATAAGAGCCAGGTCAAAATCAGATTAAAAAAAAACCTCAAAACAGTGACTCTAAGAGAATTACAGAAGCAAAGTCCATGAGATCATTATTCTTGAAATTTAAAAACTTTTAATTTTGCTGCTTTAGAGCTTCATATGATTAAAAAAAAACAATACGAATTAACACAACCTTTCAACACATTTTCTTTTAAAACTTGATTTGATCAAGGTAAAATCCAGTTTCCTTCAATACATTTATCTCGGAAATAAAAAAAGACAAATCATACTGAAAATGACAGACAGGAAATTTCATATGAATAAAAAAAAAAAACTTCGATCAAAACGTTAAGTTTGGATCCCCCTACTGAATCCCTTACACATTGGAAATAGTATAGTATGTTTAAATCCGCGTACATACTTTTCATAGAAAATTGAATGACAACAAGGCAATATCGGTATCGACCCACCTAAAAACCTCTTTTTATGGTCGTCTGATATATATATATATATATATTTGACCACTCCTTTATTGTAGCATAGTATTGTGCATAGAACATATAAAACACAAATCGTACTGGAATAAACATCAAAATAAAAAATACATGAATATATATTAACACTGGACACTTTTAATTTGCAAAACACTCATTTGCAAATCCGCCGCCGCCTCTCCTTAGACCTACAGTGTCGTGTAAATAACCAAAACGTGCGGAATTACATGGGATTCAATAATTTCATTGCTTTTCTGCTGTTATTATTATAAATATTTTGTAATTTGATTTAGAAAAACATGGGATTTTCAATATCCCATGGGATAAGGCAAATCCCATGGGATTGACCATTATCCCATGGGATTTCGGTTAAATCCCATGGGATTTTTTTGGGTCCCATGGGATAATTGTAGTCCCATGGGATATTTGATGTCCCATGGGACAAAAAAAATCCCATGGGACTATAATTATCCCATGGGATTTTTAATATCCCATGGGACAAAATAAAATCCTATGGAATTCAAATTATAAATATACAGTAATGTGTATGTTACAATGAATTCTGTTTGGTAGTAAAAAGTTTATAATATATATATGAGTGTATTTTGGTTTTTTTCATTTTGTCACAAACATGTTTTTAATTTGTTTATATGACAATAAAGATTATTATTATTTTGGAAATATAATAATATTTAAAGTCAAAAAATAAAATCCTTTAACTGAAATAAAATGATGACGTCTTAATAAAAGAAAAAAATATTGATTTGAAATCTTTGTCTTCTTTGTTTTATTATGAAAAATAGAACTGATAAAAATATTTCATATTCTGACTGAATAAATTGACAAAGCACAGTTAATAGTTTACTCTTTTCATGAGGTAAAGTTTTCTTTGTTATAGTTCCATTGCAATACATGAATATGCAAATGATTTGAATCTTATTCCTTTGTGGTGTTCATAATATTACATTTATATTTGTAAATTTATAAAATAAACACTTTTCCTGTTAAGTTTTAGTTTTCTTGTTTCAGCTTGCTATGAACAATTATTCAGTCCACTATATAAGAGTCAAGTAAATAAATTATTTCATCCACTAGAATATTCCTACAATTCTAAGACAAAACATTTATGCAATCTGTTCTTCAAAAATCTTCCTCCGTACATCTTTATTGGATGGAGCGATTTAAATGAGTGGACAAAGCAAGTTCATTTGGACAACAAAATACTAATATATTTTTTCATTCCTCCCTTCTTTCAATTGATAATTACGTTGTTGCATTTACATGATTAAGTTCTTCAGCATCTAAGATCATGATGATATGACTCCTTTTTGTTTATAGTAATTATGTTGAAATTTTTCTTATGTAGGAAAAAAACACATTCCATTTCAAATTAATAAAAAAGTCACACTATGTAGAAAAATATCAACTTTAAGTTTGCTGTTCAGTATTGACCTGTTGAATGATGATCATGAAAACCAAGATGTCTGACCTACAAATACACAAA